CAAACTAATTATTTTTTTTTTTTTTTTTTTTTTTACTTTCACTTAGATTCTGTGTCTGTTCACCATATCTGTAGTTATTCTGCTCAGTGTTACAGGGTTGACTTGTACAGCATTAACCTAGTAAGCAGTATGTATAGTCAAGGTCATCTTTGCTAACACGCTCCAGAAGTACTCGATTTGCTAAAAGTCTGGCATAAGTAGAAAAGATATTTGAGCAAGTTAAAGCAGTAAGTTTCTTTCTCAGCAGACCAGGATGGCAGAGCATGCTTAATAGCATGGGGACGATGAGGAGTTGGGTAAAAGGAATTAAGTAGAAAAGCGTAGACCAAAAAACCAGGGCTGGTCACTGTTCTGAACTTGTTAGTTATGAAACATCTCTAAATGGAAAGGAGCCATTTCTGGGTGGCAGACTGGACTGCAGGATTGTTAAATGTTTCCAGAGCCCTTGACATAATCATTTGTTTTGTTGTCCTTCCATGTATGTCAAGATTTTACCCAACTGACAGAGGCCTGTTCAATGTTTTAGTCTTTTGCAATAATCAATGTAAGTAGACAAAGAATTATCACTTACTAGCTTCCTCAAGCCTAAACAAAAAACAGTCCTGCTACATACTGTGACTTTGATCAAACTATGACCAAATGCTCAGGAAGAAACCAGGCCTTGCAGCACAACAAGGTGGTTTAATAAGTGCTGAGGAGCTGGGATGCTCAGCTGTGTAAACAAGACAATTGGCTCCAGAGGGAGTTGTTCCTGAACTCTGCTGCTCTGTTGGAATTCAACAGGGAATGAGTTTCTGAGTCATGGGGCTGAGTTTCTAGCCAGATAGCAACAGCAGAAGCACCTCTGCTACTCCCTGCTGTGCAGCGTGACATGGTCTGATTGTTCTGCAGCAGCACAGTATAAATACGTTGCATTTTTTAACTTGGAAATGTTGATATGCAAGAGAACAGTCCTGAATCAAAAGGTGTTCAATGATTTTTTCTGATTTAACGCAGAAGCAGGCTCCCTGTCTAAGGAATGCCACCAGTGGAGTTTCCTTTCCCCTTCAAGGACAGCATCAGCAAAAGCCGACATTATTAGGGAGAGATCCAGAGAGGCTGAGGAGGGTCCTTCTGTGGCCATTGCTGAACCTCCTTCCCACACTCAGTTAAGAGTTTATCTAGACCCAAAATGGGACAGTGCAGCAAAAGAAGAAAATGGACAGGAAAGTGCAACTTTTCAGACACCGGAAGAATTCATACCAGCTTATACTCAATTTGTAATGAAGGAACCTATTTCAGAACTGACCCGCCAGCCAGCTGCTGACATTGAGAGTGATGTGGATTTCCACAAACAGCCTGAAGTGTTTATACACGAGTTAGCAAATAATGAATTTGCCCATGGTACTGCAGAGTCACTCTTTTCCCGAAGTTCTTCTCCATTTACTGTCTTGGACTCCAAGGGAGATGTAAGAGAACAAGATACTGAAGAAGTAAGCTTAAGATCAAGTTCTGAAAGTGATGGGGCAGACAGTAGGGCTGCCTGGTGTATTAGTCACAGGACTTACGACACTGGCAACAGACATGAGTTTGAAAGATTCAAGAAGTTTATTAAAGGAACACTTGGGGAGAGGTACTGGTGGCTCTGGATGGATATTGAAAGACTAAAGGCTCTTAAGGACACTACAAGGCAGCAAAGGTACTTCCCATTATCTAACAGTTATTCCCATTTTTTTAATACTTGCAACCCAGCTAGATCAATGCAGGTTTTGGGATTTCAGAATCAATTGTAACGTTTGACTAGAACAGACACAATTAAAGTAATCATGAGTGTCCTGACAAGATCAGTCAGGAATGACTCTGCTGAAGCTGATAAAACTCTTTTTGCAGAGTCATGTTTGCAAAGCTTACATGAAGTCAGAATCGCCGTAATATTAAGGCTTTGTTAGAAAGAGATTTGGAAAACACATGGCAACAGAAAGAAAAAAAAAGAATAAAAGAATTTAAATTCACAAGTAGGGCATTCAGTGTGACAAACTGCTTTAGTGAAAGGCTCTGCTGGATTCAGATTGTCTATTCTAAGGCACTGTACATTTTATCTTATACAGAACCTGTCTCTAATTTGTGGAAAAATTGTTTTGGCTTCTGCCACTTGCAATTAAAAACATGTTGCACGACAGCAGTTTAACCAGTGGGATGAGCTGTACTTAGTTCTGTATAGCATCTGATACATGCTTATGTGACTATTTTTGTTGACTCAAGGCAACTCAGTAAGATGAAAAAACTCTACCTGCTGAGCGGTGGAGACTATTTCCTCAGTTCAGAAGTGTTACTCAGACTTGATCTACTGCATGGAGATCAGTGGAATATAAGGCATTTAAGACGGATTCAGCCTGAAGTAGTGAAACCTCTACTTCTTTACTGGTATGAAAAAATGAACACGAACTAAGATTCTATTGTTTAACAAATATCCCTTTTCTTTGATAAGCCTATTAGGTTTATTTCATCTCACTTATCCCTTTGCAGTTGTGGGAAGCAATGTCATCATAAATACTAGCAGATGTTGCCTCTGAATTTTTAGTTGAGCCTAAACTACGCTGCAATCTGCTGAGAAGCCAGGTAGATCTGCCTTACTGAGCCCTTCTTATTTTACTGCCAGAGCATCTGAGATACTTTGTGTATAGCTGCCTTGGTTACCATTCAACTAAACTTTAGGCTGCAGGGTAGGGAAATCCCTCCAGGCATAGAAGGTTAATTCTGTCCTAACCTATTCCCCGTATTGCCGTTCTCAAGTTTCTGAGGATGCTCTGTGTATACATCTATCTGGAAATTGACCCTGAGACTTTACTGTTCAATGTCTGTCATACAAAATGCCTTTTACATATCGACAGCTTAAGCGAGGATACAAATTCTAACCTGTGTCCAAAACATAAGTTAAATTTTTGAAGAGCTTCTCTCCTCCCCAAGGGGGATCAACAAATTACAGGCATAAACAAATACCTGCAATTGAGAATTTTACTGTGGAGCCTCATGAGAGTTGTGGTCTGTGTCCTGTGACCTACAGTCCTTTCCTGTTCTTTGCTGTAGGATGGATGGGGCATATCCTACTGCGGAGTCATACAAAGGCAACTACGTAATGGTGCAGAATTTGCAACCTAAGTTTATGTGTAGCTTGGTTTTAGATTTGGAAGAGTGCAATGTCTAAACATATCTTTAACACTAACTGATTTTTAATTCTTGGTGCATATAGCACCATATCTTGATACAATAAACACCATCATGGGGAAAAAAAAAAAGAAGCCAAATAGCCCAGTATTTCATGTTTTGGGAAAGTTCTACTTATTAGCTTCTTTTTTTCCTAGGGGTCCCAGATTTTGTGTCACTCATTCAACAGCAATAGAAACTGCCAGTGCAAAACTGAAGCTCTGGCACACATGCCAAGAGAGACCAAGGGTGGACATTGATCCTTTTCCACAAATGGTATCATTGCTACCATTGACACCTAAGTCTTGCATGCCCAGGATACCACCTTCCCTTCCTCAGGTAGGTAGGATCACAACATTGAAAAACAAAGCCTTGTCCCATCAAAAATAATGATCAAACTCCTTGAATTCAATGAGACAAGAATATGGTATTTGGCTGTTAGGAAGTCAAGATTTAGCAAACCGGTCTGTTGCAGATGGTTATGTATAAAAATGCAACAAAATTTTACTATACTTTATGCAACAGGTTGCTATAAATTGAGTCAAATTATCTTCTCAGTTACATCCTGGCTATTTCATAAGTCTTTTGGATAGATATTTTAGCTCAAAATTCTCAGAACTACAAAATTCAGGATCTAGCAGCGCAGATTCTGCCCTTCAACCAGCCTTATCTTAATGCAGAGTAATTCTTACAACTTCACTGCAATTACCCTGAATCTATCCCTCATGTTTGTAAAAAGGTCAGAGTTCTGCTCATTTTCTATCACCACAGTCTTTCAAGCAGCTACACATGTTTTTTGCTTTCTACAGAGGGCCATGAGCCACACAACACAGACCTTTTCACAGCGTGTAGCAAGCAGGTGGCCAGTTCAGTTTTGACTCTTTTCTTCCTTGCAAGCCTAAATTTGAGAGGTGACTGCAATGAAAGCTGCAGGTTTTCAGCAACACAGTGTTAAGCCTCAGGACAGAAGGTACTTGGAGAATGTGAACTGAGACTGTGATTCCAATATCAAGAACTGGATGGTCTGTGCCACAGATCTGTTCACACACACCTCTGTTACTTTGAGTTGCATAGTTTTAGACTACAATTATATTTTTTAAAAAGCTAATTCATGGAGATAATGGAGAAAAACAGTAGGACAGATTTCCTGTTCAGAAGAAGCTGGGTTCAGGAGCCAGATTCCTGCTGATCACAGCAGGAATGGGAGCCAGAAGCAGCTGCCTCTTACAGAGACCATTTCTGACTTCACAAGGTGTGCTAATGACCCAGGAATAGCTGTAGGTCAGGAAGACAGGATCCTAACTCTGCAGGTTTTCCAGCCCCTGTTGAGTTCATCACTTGAAGAAAACTATGACCTGGCACCCATGAACCTCACAGAATCAGCTGATGGACTGTTTCTTGCTGCTTTTTTGGTTTTTTAGACTACAATTATATTTTTTAAAAAGCTAATTCATGGAGATAATGGAGAAAAACAGTAGGACAGATTTCCTGTTCAGAAGAAGCTGGGTTCAGGAGCCAGATTCCTGCTGATCACAGCAGGAATGGGAGCCAGAAGCAGCTGCCTCTTACAGAGACCATTTCTGACTTCACAAGGTGTGCTAATGACCCAGGAATAGCTGTAGGTCAGGAAGACAGGATCCTAACTCTGCAGGTTTTCCAGCCCCTGTTGAGTTCATCACTTGAAGAAAACTATGACCTGGCACCCATGAACCTCACAGAATCAGCTGATGGACTGTTTCTTGCTGCTTTTTTGGTTTTGTTTAGGTTGGTTGTTTTTTTTTTTTTCTGTGAGAAATCTGGACTTTCGAATCTTCCTGCTCCACTGTGCTTGCCAGAGCTTAGAAAGAGCACCAACTCTGGGTGAATTTCTGAGGAGACTCTGAATGCAACTGGTGTCTCCAAAAAGTCATAGCATTATTGTTCAAAATAAGTCAGTGATGGTGTGACAGAATGCCCCCTTTCTCTCTTAGTCTGAGTGATTGTATCTGTCTTACGGCCTCGGTTTATAGTGAGCTACTTAAGGTAATCTTTTAGTAAAGATTCACAAAACATGTTCACATGCTCTTCACCTGACATCCTCTGTAATTCTATGCAAAGTACATGTAACATTTCTTTCTGTTAAAAATATAATTTTTAAGTTATAGTGGTTATTAAGGTATGCTGAAAAATCTTGGAAGATATTCAGAGAAGCTTTTTGCAAATTGCAGTATTACATATTGTGATTGACAATGAAAAATGGTCCTGAAAACCCTTGAAAGTTTTTGAGAAGTTAATGAGAACATGTTAAAAAAACACAAAGGTGGAAAAATAATCAGAATTACCTTATTTTTCTTTTATTTCTTTTAGAAAAGTAGAACAAGCTCACCAACAACTTTATTAAAACTAGCTACACCAAATTTGTCTTTGAAGAGATCATTAAGATTATCACCTATGCTGTCATCAAGTCAGACCCCCCAAAGGGATGACATTTCTAGCAGTAGAAAGTGGTAAGTACAAAAGTCCCTTGTACATCTTTCTGCACACCAATATACCTCAAATATTTATGAAAGGCTTTTAGATCCTAGATTTAAAGATCATGAACACTTTTCTTTAACATAATAATCTGCTTAGTGAAGGTACAGATTGCGTGCATGGAGAACTCCTCCCTGGCTGATTATTTTCTCATTTGTTTGTGCCACAACACAAAAGGGTTTATTTCTCCAAATACAAGTGTTTTACCCTCTCTTGTATAATTGTTGATATTCTCTATATATATTTATATTCTTTTAACCTGTCTCAAGCACTTGCCCTCAAAGATATGCTGTGTTTTGGGATTTCCACAGGGCCACATGAAAAAGTATTCCTCTACATTTTTTACATTTATTATAAATTTGAACTCCATGTACTTTTACCTCTACTATTCACTATGTCATCCTACCTCTCTCATGCCCTTTCTTAGTTGTTTATTTTATAAGCAGTTCTAGTTTTTTCTTAAATAGGTACTGAAAATTTTGTTTGTTTGTGGATCCAGGCCAAAGCCAGTGAGCAGAGACATGATTCATTGCTTAACTTTGGATGGCACTGCAGACTCCAAATACCAGGGTCACAGAAAGTACACCTATGCTGAGCTTCTCCCAGTAAGTAGTGCTTGAAAATTTTAGTTGTCTTGAATCATGGGTTAAAACACTTTATTCTGTAGTATTAAAGGGGAAGTAGTCAATGATGGGGAGAAACTGGTTTGATTATGTGAATGTCAGTGCCATATGCAGAGGTATAATTAGAATGTCAGCATTTTCTGTGTGGTATCTGTCACCTATTTGATAGGAAATCATGGCACATACAGAGGTTTATTTTCATTAGGAAGTGTTGATCTTCTCCATGGTGACCATGTGTTCAGTAGGCTATTATGGAAAACTCACTGGATAAATGCTTCAGTGGAATCGTTGGAAAGTATACCAGACTTACTGTGAAAACTGAATCTGCCCTAGAAAGTCATTAAAATAGTAAAATTCTTAAGAGGAAAATGCTTCACTTGAACAATTCCTCTTTTTTGCTTGTGTACTTCATTGTTTTCTTTGTTGAATTATTGCCTGCTAAGCAGGCCCTCAATCCAGCAAACCTCAGGAGGCTGCACAGAGCAGCCTTTTCTCAATAACTGTTAAAATGCTGAGGTATTGAACATGTGAGCTGTCAAGATTTGGCGACTTAAAACATATCCAAAACTTTTCAGGTTTGTGGAATGGTCTCAAAACAGCCTGCTGTTTCATGGCAGTATTGATACACATGGCCTCACAACTAAAAAAACCCAACCTTATTATGAAATCTGGGCCTGTTTACATATGCATGGAGTTTGCTGATCACTAGAGCACGTTTGTTTGTTTTTCGCATCAAAATCATACTTTATTACTTCACTGCAATCATTTTACTTCTTTGTTAATTTCGACAGAAGAAAAGGCTAGCCTTTGCAATTTGGGGACATTTGCGGTTAGAAACTTACATTCAGAATATGTTCACACCATGAACGATTATTTTGTTTCTATACACCTTCATCATGCAGAGTTTCCCTCTGGCTGAGGGAGGAAAATACTACCCATTTACACTTACAGGGCTAGGCTGGAGCCTACAGTCAGGACCCCACAATTTGCCATCACAAATACGATGCAAAGGGGAATGCAGGGATTCATAGTTTGACTTCATACAGGGGAGTGGGATCTTCCTGCTCTGCTTCAGAAGTCTGGCTTCCTCCTGCCCTTCTCCATCCCTGTTTGGAAAGAAGCTGGTTGTCAGCCACAACACTCATCTGTTCCCATTTCTGCTATCACAGACAGCAAGTCAGCCAAAGTTTCTCTCTTGTGATCATCAGAAGCTAACTTACTAGTTTGTACCCTCCTCTGGCTTCTCTGTGAGCATTGTCAAAATGGATGTATTCTTCCTCAAATGCTCCAGGAGCTAGCCACAGTAATGGGCATGGATTTCCTCTCCCATAAAATGCTCATGTTTTTGATGTTGAGGTCAGTGGTGTAACCCCAAGGGACATGTCTTTTGTTCCATGATAGTTAATTGTTTTGAGGCTTGACCGAATAACCACCTGTTAACTTCTGTTGGTTCAAAACACAGTAGCCTGAGCTGAGACAACTTTTGACAGCAAAGTGATATGGTTTAGAATCATTCCCCAGATTTGGAGCTAAAGAGTTAATGACAGAATTAGGGTCAGGTTTGTTTTCCTGTTCCAAGTATTGAGGAACCACCTAAGGGATGCTATGGTCATTTTGCTACTCTGCATGCCTTCAGTCATCAGAGTTATTCCATTGGATGTGAATATTTAGTGGGAAAATGGTATGGAGAGCTATGATCTATTGCATATATAGTAGAAAATGGAGTCTGGTTTCTTGGGATGAAGATACTAATTGAACACACTGCATGGCCCTCCATTGCAATGTACTGACATCTGAAAATAATGAAAGCCTATTATTCCTTGCTGTATATTTTATTTGTCCAGGGGAAAAGTGCTGCTGGCAGTGTTGTCTTAGGGCGATCAAGAATGGAAAGCATGCTGCAGTCTCTTTATTTGGAGAACAGAGCAGGCTACTACTTCACACAATTCTGTGAGAAGTCAGGGAATAAGGTATGAGCATTTTCCTACCCTGTGATAATTTAGTCCACAATTGACTGAATGCCAAGTTATAGAGGGCAGCCAGACTGAAAAAAAAAAAGGAGAAGGAAAGATTGATGACTAGATGAATTATTACTTGTGAGACTCCAATCCCTCAACAACAATAAACTGTTCATGTGTATATTCAAACTAATGACAGGTCTTAACCAAGCTGTCAGATCCTAACTGTATCAAACCTATTGGAAATCTGATTGTACCATCAGGGATAAAAAAAGACTAATAATTTTTAAAAACTAGCCTTTAACTTGGCAGAAAAAATGAGGTCTTAACCCACAAAAACATTTTTTAAAAAGATGGAAAATCCGCTATGCTATTACTCATGATAATCTGCCTCCTTCTTGCTTGTTGGGTTAGTGATGTCCAAAATCTCCAATGTTTTAAAAACGTTCTTCTGCTTCCATGAAGCTTCTTGGATTTCTGAGAAACATAACACTATTTCTTCTCTGCAGTCAGCAGATCCATCATCCATTGCTGGGTGTAAATTGAGGATTGGTTGGAACAAGTTATGAATCTGAGTCAGTGTTTAGTGGCTTTGCAGAAAAATTGAGTCTTTAGGGGAGATTTGAATGCAATCAAGATGGACATCTGTTTCACTGCTGGCACAACCTAGAATCCAGCAGCAGTAGCTAGAAATGCCTTTGGCTACCAGAAGGCAAGAGCCAATGTTTCCAAAGCTGAATACCTTCAGCTAAGAATGTTAAATGTGTATAGATAGACATTTAAATAAAAGTAACTTATTTTTTCATGGGCGGTAATCACCCACCCACATGTCCTCTAGCCTTTGCAGGTGCCAGACTTCTTTGAAAATTATTTCCTTAAGGTTTTGTCTACAACTGTGGAGCCTATTTCACTTATATGCCAGGTCTGGCAGGCTACAGTATGTGGAGCAAAGTTCTCTGCCCCTATCTTTTTGGAACATTTTCTTTACTGTCCAGTGATGGGAGTTTCAGGGTATTTTTAAGATCCAAACTCCATAAGCACATGATTAAAACAGAGCACTTGCGGAAAGATCTAGACTCTGTCTTCTGAAAGATCTTCTGACGTTTGTTTGAATTTATGAAATGAGGCCAAGACTCTGTGCCTCAGAAATGCATGTAATAAAAATGTAATGATAGTCACAGTAACAGATGTCAAGTACACAATATTTAATTGTTTTGGTTATTGCTGCAAAATGCTATTTCACCATGGCACAAATTCTGCATGTCCATTATCAGCATTTCTTCTTTAGTGCTGGCTTTATGCCACTGAAATGTTAACTCTTCAAATGTTAACTACAATGTTAACAATTTTAATGGCCAATTATGCATAAAGGATACAATAAAAGATATAGTATCACAGTAACGATGCCATTAAATATGTTGTCCTTCTGCCAGTATGCAACAGAAGATTAAATCCATCTTAAATTGAGCTTGATTTACGATGACCCCAAGGAGCTAAATAATTACTTGCATTGGAAAGTCAACCTTTTATAAAGCTGTGATATTTGGGTAGCAATAACTTACAGTATTTTTAATCTCTAGTTGTGGAAGAACAGCGCGTACTTTTGGTTTGACCTACAGGCTTATCATCAGCTTTTCTACCAAGAAACTCTTCATCCTTTTAAAATATGCAAGCAAGCTCAAGTAAGTTGTAAATAATGTGTTTTCCCTTCACAAATACATTTGTTCATTCCCTTCACAAATACATTTGTTCAGTGTAAAGACTGAAAAGAAGATAGAAAGTAGAAAAGTTTCCAAATCTTGACAACCCACACCAAAGTAAATCTGGTTTGTGGACAATAAAAGAAGCTCTTTGGATTGTTTCCATGGAATTTCTTGATTTAAATGTTAAACATGCATAGTTTGATTTCTAGGCTCTGCTGTCTGTTCTAGTTTTATCTATTATACTGAGTTTACCTAATCTCCCCTTTGCTACTCTGTGTCGTATTTGGAAACTGTCTGCTTAGTGTTAACATCAAAGATAACATTTTTTCTAAATCATCTAACTGTGCTGTACCTTTTCTTCCACCTCCTGTGTGGGTTAGCATTGCAGGTCTCACAGTCCAGACCTCAGATAATGTCCTTAGTCATGAAAATAGGTCTTTCAGTTGTCAGTCATGTTTTTCCTTTTCTGATTGTCAAGCCATCATGCTCTTTTCGCAGTCGTCATCCCCCCCATTTGATCTTTAGACCCTCATTTACTGTCAAGTGGAACTGATATTTCCTATAAACAAGTATTCTTAATTGAGCATGCACTTTAAGTCAGGGAATAAAACAAAAATGAACTGGTTCACCACATGGATGCTGATAGGTGTCACCAACTGCAGAATAGTCCGATACTGCCGGGGAAGGAGGCTGCAGCAGTGTGATATCATTAGAAGGACTCCAAGCAACTTTTAAAATCACTTTGTGAAACTTCAGTCTGTTTTTCCTCTGTAAATCTCATGTAGGAGTATATCCTATCTGCATATTTCAATATATGCTGTAATAGAGCAAAGCTACTTCACATGTCATTGGAACAAATATCTGTAGAGAGCAGTAGGTATGGCTTATGTTACTGAGCATCTGGACTTCCTTGAACTTGTTGTCTTTTCCTACTTGGAGATTTTACTGGGGCAAATGACAGACTTTTGCATATTTGTCCAGAATTCTCACCTGAGTCAGTGTTATTTGTACAGAAACTCGAAGCAGAGGCCGAGGCATGGACTGCTCCCTCTCTCCTGTCACACACTGGCTAACTTGAGCTGCTACCCTATTTAGTTGTTTTCCCCTTCAGCTCTACTTACAGCCTGAGGCTGAGGGCAACTGTCTGTACCCCTAAGACCGACTGTCTCCTGTATCTGCCCAGGCCTGTGTGTGGCTAGGGACCCTGCTCACAACAGGCGTGCAAGTTAATCATATCTGGACTGTGTCTTCATTTTCCTATGTGTTTTGTTGCAGGCCAAATCTTAGGTTATGGTCCATGATGTTTTTCAATTTTGTTTCATTTCACACCAGCTTACGCTCTTCCTGCAGTGGTTGCATGGCTGAAAATTAAGGCCCAGGTCTTTTTTACTTATCTTATTTCCAGTGCTGGCCTGGTGGTGACAGCAGAACATCATACAATCAGTGTTACCAGGCAATTGCAGAGAGCTACATACACATAGCCATTAAAATAAATACATCAAAACGAAATATGTGAAACTGTTCCATTAGCATAACTAACAGCTGAAATGTAACATAACAAATCAACACATGTGCTGCAACATTTGGTATCATTCTCAAGCTTGCCTTTTAAGGCTGCACAAAAATTATTCTTGTTTTCATTGGAACACGGTAAAGAGTCAAGCTGCATTCAATCTACAGGGTCTGCTTATGGAAGAGATGCCTTCCCAAATTCTGCGCTCACCTTTGGCACAGTAAGATAGTCATTCCAAATACTCCTAAGAGAATGTGGATTAGATTCGCACAACACATCGTCATATATATTTTACTATTTATTACAGAAAGAGACATCCAGAGTATGCTGTATGTGTTCTGCCTGCTTCCTGTTAGAAACAAGAGCAAACCTGGATTGCTGTGTATCTGTTATTCATTGTTTCATTTGTTAGGCATTTTTATCTCAGCTTTATGATAGAGTAAGAAAATGCATTCCAAGGTGTATATTCATTCATCCAGGGAAAGAAACTACAGTGAGAATGAAATCTGATGGATAAGAAAAACGATGATCATCCAGGTAATCATCCAGGAACATATATGGTTATTCACTATAAACATACACACAGGAGTGTATAAATTGGGAAAGAAAAGCAATAAAGAAACACATATTGTAGTTTTCGATTAAAAAAATAGTTATTTAGAGTTAGAAAATTTAATACAGTTATGGGAAGTGCAATATTTTAACACTAGAATCAATTTAGATAAAGGGTGTTATCATTACTGTGAACTTTTAGGGTCAGACACAAGATTTATGTTAGTGGCAAGTGATGACGGGGGTTAAGGCAGTTTAGCCTTTCCATTTAAGACCAGCCAGTGCATTGTATTCTTCCATCATATGATTCTGTCAAGCAGCTGCACAAGCCCCTCGTTTAGATCAGAGCAATATCCACGCCTTTGGACAGCAATACAAAGCCGTTGGACTTGAACCTTTTTCGTGTTTCTTGCTTCACTCTAGTCATTCTGAGATTGCTTACCAAAGCCTTCTCATCTGGGGATGAATTCACACCAAAACTCAAGGCCTGAACAATCCCTGATTTGGAAAGTCATAAATGAAAGTCTTAATCTGAATTTCCTAAGCATTTTGTATCTTCAGATTTGTGCCATTATAAGTAATTTCAAGATGCAAACTCTGACCAAAGTTCCAGATAGGGTTTTGGGTTCAATCCATCACTTATTCTAATACATTTATAGGAAAATGTATAGCTGGCAGGTAGGAAAATTCTTTGTGTTTTACAAAAGGAACAAAACATTAAGTAAATGAAGTATGATGTGCACTTGATGTCACATGCTTAAGATTTTTGCGTGAATTTGATAACCTTTAAGTTCATTTAATGTAATTTTTTCCTGTTGATCCTTTAGGAGATTGACCAATACAACCATTTCACTATTCTACTGAGATTCAGAAAACCACAAGGCTTCCATGACATGGGAGTCAAAAAAGGCTATGAATATTCCTTTTTAAAGGATACAATGTATTTTCCCCCTATATCTTGCTAACTTCATTGCCCAGTATTGAAGGCTGTGAACACAGACACTTTTCCTCTTTTTTTGGCATGTCTAGATCTTTTGCAGTCGGTTTTCCTGCAGTCCTTGCATTCAAATCAGTGCAGATCTACAGATGCGCCTGAACCCTCAGCAAGGAACACAGGGATGAAAGCTCCTTCTCATTTCTCCCCCTATCTGCAAGTGCATGCATTCACTTTGTCACTTTGTGATGCTATCTTTTTACTTGGTAGGTCAAATCCCACAGCAATATATTCTTACAAGAATTTAAGCAAAAAGATGGCATCATGCCAAATCCTCAGACACTGTAAATCTGCATCCTCCAACAGTGAAGAGGCCATCCTGATTACAGCACTGAGGGTCTGGTCCTTTGAGTTTCGAAATGTGCACTCCTACAGCTAGCTTAACCACCTCTAAATTTCTGCTTCACATGTATTACCAGCCCTAACTATTGTTTCTGGAAAAAAATGTCTGTCTTTACTATGCTCCAGTTTTGCATGTGAAATTATACAGGACCGGGTGCAGTTCTCCAGGTAGAGCAGCCTGCAAAGGCAGTCCCTAATATGGCCATATATTACGACAATACTTATGTGAGCAGATTGTCAATAGTTTTTGGCCAAAGCTTCCTTAGTCTGGGCAATTTATGACTCTCTAGGCTGATATTTTTTGTCAGCTCTAAAGAAGAGTAGCAAATATACTCGTTAACCCATTTCACATAAAATCATGGGGGAAAGAACAGTTCTGCCCAAGAAAGTTGTGGAGTGTTTGTTTTGGTTTTATTCTTAAAACTATGCTAAAAATAACCAGGCATTTAAGGAACCAGGTTAAATGTGTGTTAAAATATTGACGACCTATTTTGGATCCTTTTCACCAATTTACAGATCCCTTGTGTGTGGTTTTATGAGTCATAACAGGTGGAGCAATGTAGCCCTAATGACAAATAAAATGGTTAACCCCTCTTTAAAAAGTCTATTTTTAAAGATACCACATCTTTATATCATTGGACTGGTCCCTTCTAATTTGGCTATTTTATATGTTAAATGTTTTGGATCAGACTAGAACATGATGTAACCAAAACTTTACTAGTGGTAGGGTTCTTCAAAATAACTTCCAACTTTTGAAATCACTATGAATCTAATTAATGCCGTCTCTGTTAAATTTAAATTTATTTGGGAATTTGCTGAGAAGGGCATAATTTAGGATAAATGTGGTCTTGTTCTTCAGCTAGGACTCTTCCTGTGGATGTCCTCATTCTTTGACCTTACACTTACACCTGGGTGTTTTTATTGCACTGATAACGTGGGCCACAATAGCCACAAACCATCTTCATCTTCAGTGATTAGATCTATGTAGAAAGGGGGTGGAACCCTGCATAGACAGTAAATATAGTAATCATAACAAGTTCTAACTGGGGGGTGGATGTCAGCCATCGTAGCCCTGTATTCCTCAGTGACCTGGTATCAGGAGAGTCTAAAGGGTCTGTTTCAAATTGTTAAAGTCCAAAATAATGGGAATGTAGTCTGGTACTGTTGCTGTTTGAAAGAAAGTCTAATAAATCAGAATTTCATTTAAAACAAACAGAAACATAATTATTTAATGTACTCAAACATTCTCCCACTGTGCTTGAAATCTAAACACAACAGTGTTTTATTACTGCTTGAACACAGAGTAAATGTATTATTTTCTTTTTTTCTACTGTTTTGTACATCTGCTAGTTATAGCTGGATTTTAGCAACATAAGGAAAATGAGAATTATCAGAAACCTGCATTCTTCATTGTCAAAACTATGTGATAATAAATAGTGAAGATAGGCTCCTCAGTGCCATCCTAGAGAGAAATTCTGATTTATGCTACTAATCTGATCCCCTGACCATATGTTTGAAAATTAGTTAGACTTTGACAATATGAAGAAAACATTTATAAGTATATGAAATTTATTATGGCATCAACTCTTTTCACTTGAGTTCCTAGCTGCAGTCAGAATCATGATGTATGAGAAAAATATTCTGGAACATCTTCTTCCAAGATATTCCTGGAAGAAAGTGTTTTTCTCTGAGTTTTCAATGTTCTTTTACATAGCAATTTATGAAACATTAAAAAAAACCCAAGAATTTGACTTAGGGGACTATTTGGAAAAAAAAAATCTTGAAATAAAAAAAAAAATTACTCTATGCTTCAAGAATGGGCTGCTAGTGAGAAGGAAACATTCTCCAGGTTCAGCTTTCTTCTGTTTGTACATGTTGAATGGCAAAGTCTGTGCTTCATAAAAAAGCATATTGTAATCCTTGCTTTGGTAAGGATTTAGACCTCAGTTGTGCAGTGGTATCTCCTGTTACTGACCCTGTACCATGATAGAGTCTCACCAGTCTCTAAGAACTGTGCAAGAGAATCTCCACACAGAATGAAATCTTATAATTTTTCATTAATTTTAACCTTAAATTTACAAATTCCCTTCTATTCAGAAGAAGTAAAACTCCTTCACAAGTTGGCCCAGCACATATTCTGCAAAACAACCCAAGAATTTGACTTAGGGGACTATTTGGAAAAAAAAATCCTTTGAAATAAAAAAAAAATTACTCTATGCTTCAAGAATGGGCTGCTAGTGAGAAGGAAACATTCTCCAGGTTCAGCTTTCTTCTGTTTGTACATGTTGAATGGCAAAGTCTGTGCTTCATAAAAAAGCATATTGTAATCCTTGCTTTGGTAAGGATTTAGACCTCAGTTGTGCAGTGGTATCTCCTGTTACTGACCCTGTACCATGATAGAGTCTCACCAGTCTCTAAGAACTGTGCAAGAGAATCTCCACACAGAATGAAATCTTATAATTTTTCATTAATTTTAACCTTAAATTTACAAATTCCCTTCTATTCAGAAGAAGTAAAACTCCTTCACAAGTTGGCCCAGCACATATTCTGCAAAACAACAATGCGACTTCATGAAGAGTGCAGTTGCTGTAATCATTGTGGTTATCTGAATCTAACTAAGAATTAGCCAAATATCTCCAAGCAAAAATGACATCAAGAATTATTTTGTGATCTAGCCATTTTAACAAGTCGGAGTAAAAATGGTAGGGAGGTCAGTTATGGCAATAACTGATTTTTGGACAAAATAGTAATATTGGTAAAAACAAGGCACGTTTAATTAGATATACGTTAAGAATATACAGCAGGGCAGTGTGGGACAAATATGCATTAACTCTCTCCTTCAATGGACTGTGACCATTGGAATGGATGATGGCTAAGAAACTGTTTTCTTCTGTTTTATTGTAGTTCCTTTATGCAACTTACATTGCCCCATCTGCCAGTATGGACATTGGACTTCATCAGAGTAAGAAAAACATGATTTATCAGAAAATTGATCCAGCTTTTGAGGATCTTTTTGACCCAGCAGAAGAATATATCCTCACTGTTTTGCTAGAACCATGGATGAAGATGGTGGAAGCAGACAAATACACATATGGAAAGGTAACTGATCTAGATGACACCGTGAAAAATTCCTATGTTGGGGAAGAAAATCACAAGAACCTTCATATGCAACCCTGTTACATTTAGGTTGCATATGAAGGGAGAAGTATTACGGGATGTTTTGCTCACCCACTCCTTTCTATGCTGATGTGTGGAGTAGCCTGAACTTCCTGTGGAGAGCAGACTTCCTGTCCGAAAGGAAGGTGCAGGCTTCATAGACCCCTTGGTCTGTGAATTAGGGAGGAATGCATCTTGCTATGGCAAAATTTCTCTTTGCACTCAGGAAGTGTCATGTTTCTGCAATCTTGCCATTGATTGAAAGTAATTTTCTTATGATGGATTACCCACAAGCCTTCTATGTTTTTAATGATAAGCACAAAATAAGCTGTGTTTCTAGAGTCAGTACAGTGATGCTAGGTCCATATTAATTGTATGAAGTATTTCTTCGTGTTTAGAATTAAAGTGCAGCTACTGCTTAGCATAAGAGGGAATGTGATATGGTGATCCAGCTGTATTTGCCCCAAACACTTTTTAGATAGCTGCCCTGCTGTGTAAGGGCTAACTGTGCCCTGCAGGCTTCCTGAAGTAGGTGGCTCAGTGGTGTACTCAGTTCTAATCCCAGAAAACCTCTGAAGGCTTGAACTGAGCAGGCTCAAGAAGGTCAGGGGAGAGGGCTGCAATCCTGACTCTGCTTTTGACAAATAAGGACAAGAAATGGTGGAGGCAGTGGTGGATGCTGTGGCTCTCTGCTCTTTGTAAACTTACCTACAAGTTACCAGCTGTAGGTCAAACTTCTAATTCCAAGTCTTTAACATCTCTCTCGGATATGGAAGGAGAAACTTAAAATGGAGAATCAGGAGTTGGAGGGCAGGAAGTTAGTTCTTGTTCCCATTTTTCTCCACTGTGACCTTAGATGAAGCATCTCCATTTTTACAGGAAATATCATCACTTACTGCTGATATTTCTGTCAGCATGTAATGAGAACATGCATGCATTGCCCCCTGCAAAACATTTTGAAATCCTTTTGTGGAAGTTTTGTAGTACAGTGTATTTTTGTTACTATATTGTGCATGCATGTATGAATAACTAGGAGAACAGATACCTAAAATCAAAGTTGAGAATGGTCTTCTAAGCCTATTAGGTGGTGGCCAGTATTAAACATTTAAGAATAGAGTATAAGAACAGAAACCCCCCCCCATAGAGCAGTATTGCCAGCTTCAGCACTTTGCAACTGAGGAGGTTCGTGAAGCAGAGGTCTTATCCACATTTTTGCGTTTAATAGTCTTTGTGGTTTTTTTTCCCCATGGGTTTATATGTAAATGTGTCTTGAGTCATTTTATATCTTCAGCCCCACTGTAGCAGTGGGTTCCATGCAATTAAACAATCATGCAATAGGAGAAGAAAATGCTTATCTTGGTTAGTTTGCAAACCCCTCCCTGATAATTTCACCCCGTGCCCTAGTTCTGTATGTCATGAGGAACAGTGAACAATTGTTATCTTGTCACATTCTCAATGCTGTTATGCTTTTACATGTTTCTGTTGTATCCCACTTCAGTTACATCTCTTTGAAACTCAAGAATCCTAGACTATCTGACCTCTCCTCTTACAGAAGGCGTTCCATACCTTTGTTACACTTACCACCCCCACCTGTATCTGTTATTTCATATTCTTTTGATTAGATGCAAGCAGTACTCAAGATATGGAGGCACTAAGGATTATCCAGTGGCAGAATCACGTTTTCTGTTTTGTTCTTTGTTCCCTTCCTAATTGTTCCTATGATTCTAATTGCTTTTTGACTCCTGGTGAACTTTGAGTGGATGTGCAAAATGTAAGTTAATAGCCATCTGCAATGATTCCAAGATCTCTTTACTAAGTAATAACGGCTAATGCAAAGCCCTAATTTGGAGCTCACTAGAATGACTTAATGTTTATTGTCATTGAATTCAGCTGCCCCTTCCACAGACACAAAAGTGTCCTGAAATCCTGCAGCTCTTCACAGTCAATTTCTTTTTTTGCTCTGTGGAATCGTTTTGCAAACTTTGTTGTCTCCTCACTCACCTCCTTTTCCAGATAATTTCTGAATGTTTAAAAAAACAACCTCAGCGCAGATCCCTGTGAGACTCCAATAGGAACCCCACCCCATGATGAAAGTTATTTATTTCTTTATTTTTTATTTTCTACCTTCTAATTAATTCACAAGGGGACCTTCCCTCTCATCCTGTGATAACTTAATTTCCTTAAGAAACTTTGAAAGTTTGAACATTGAAAAAAACTTACTAAAATAAAATATACTAATCCAAACACATCTGCAAAATATTCTCTTCACTCTTCAGCATCTTTTCTAAACTTTTGGATAAATTATTTTTTCTAAGCTATTTTTTCTAAGCTGTTTAAGCTATAATAGTTTATGACCTGCAGAACACTGTGTAATTGACTGATGCTTTCATTAATATGAAACTTTATTTACTTTCTATCAGACTAGTTTTACAGTCTTTTGTAAATGTGTATTTTCCATGTATATTACCAATACTAGTTGTCTAGTATCTATTGCCAGTCCTCACTGAGTCATCGACTCAGCCAAGTACTATTATACATAATTTTTGTATAAAAAGGACTCTGCTTTTGAACACTCTCTGAACACAGTGTTTTAGTATCTATTAGTATCGATTGCCAGTCCTCACTGAGTCGTCATCGACTCAGCCAAGTACTATTATACATAATTTTTGTATAAAAAGGACTCTGCTTTTGAACACTCTCTGAACACAGTGTTTTCACTGCTTCTAGCAATGAAAGAATTCCTCCAGAATAAGAATTGAAAATATAAACTTTTGCTTTAAGTTAAGTTAATGCGTGTGTCAGTTTATACCTCCTTGAGTTAAGCAAGGGATAATCTATTGCCCTTTCAGTTTAGATGATGCTTTGCTTTGCAAGTGTAGTTATGTGCAGACTTCTTAGTGCCCTAATAACATGAACATCTTAATCAGAGCACAAAAAAACAGAACTAAATCCTTCTGAGTGCACAATACATGTGTTTGTGAAGAGTTATAATACACAGACATAAAATGACCTGTTCTAGGAGGCACTAGAGTCTCTTTGTACTAGGCGCAGGCTGATGTTTAGGCACACTCCTTCCCAGCACAAAGACAAGGTCTGCTCTGTATTTTGTTCAGTCCCTGGCTTTACTCTTCCCCTTTGTTCTACCATACAGCAGGATATATTTGGCCCATAATGAATCAAGATATTTTATCAAGAATTAGGTGAGTCCAAAATTGTTTATTTGGGACATGGTCACTATGTATCTACATTTTTATCTTTAAACAAAACATGAAAACAGGAGAGTTCCTTTTTGTTGTTGACTCTCATCCTGCCTCTCTGCTTTCTGTTTAAACTTTATGAAAAATGTTCTGAATTATTTTCCTATTTACTTTCAAACTACATTTTCTTTTAAAGAAAGAATACCCAAAAGCACTTTATAACAGTGGAATAGAGTTACACTGAGCCTGAAGGCATTCAGATAACACGGTGATTAATGTGGTATTCACATTTAGACAAAAGCGTAATGAATATTAATCTAAAAACTCTCTTCTCTCTCTTGCACATAAACTCTTGTATAATAAGACCACAGCTTTCTAATCTTTGTAATCGGTGTGCTAAGTAGTATAACGCATTGGCTCAATTTTGCTAAGTATCCTAAAACCTGCATTTGAATGGTTTAGTCAGCGGAGAGGGTCAACAAACTATTCCTTATGCAGTTACCGATTGTTTGCACATAACATGGAGAACTGCTCTAGTTATATATATAAGGCTTCTAACTAAGTTAAAAATGCCAATACTTCATGAGTTCTAATCATGCACAATTTATTATTTTAAAGCATTACCTCCTATAAAACTTAGGAAAGGGACAAGACTGAAAGTCCGAAAGCTTTCACCTTCATTGTTTAGATATTATAGCATCTTTCTTGCCTTAAATTTCCATTTCTGGAAATCTGTGGCACTCTTTTTGACATTTCCCACTGAGAGTCATAGTTTTAAGACCTGTTTTTCTGCTTCTCAGTGGCACTTTGACATACAATTTGCTGGTATAGGCAATCAGGTAAGTCTAACACAATATATGCAATATAATATATACACAATATAATTTAGCAAATTTTTTAATACAAAGTTCTTTTCTTAAAGATATACTTAGGTTATTTAGTGGTGTTCTGTAGAAATCTACATGTGATCCTATACAGATCTGAAAATTTTGTTCTACCAGAGCTTTTAATTGAATTGTTTGTCACAAGGATGTGACTTCTAGTGTCTTCTAAACATCAGTCTCATTACTGGCAAACATTCTTTTCTATCCACTGTCACTGGCAAGGTGCCCATCCAGTTCTCCATCTTTCTATAATGTGTACTGTAGGGATGACATAAGATATTATTTTTATTAGGTGGAGTTGGTGGAAGAAACTCGACAGCTGGACTCCGTGTACTTTAGAAAGCTCCAGGCTTTGCATCAAGAGAGTGGTTCCAAGAAGGATGAGGTAAGACAAGTACCTACTAACAAAAACAAACTCTTTTTCTATCAGAGGGGGTTAACACTTTGAGTATCAGCAATGAAAGACTGACTACATGCCAGTTTGGAAAAGCAAGTAGTCCGATTTCTACCATTCATTTTGGGGATTGACAGCCATTGCGTTAATTACAAATACAGGTCTTCTGTCAGTTACATCAACATCAGACCACTGTATGATCGGAGTCAGTGAGACAGTTTCCACTAAAGTCTGTGGAATGTATTTTGGGCCCTTAATCTTGAACAAATACCTCAATTTCAAGTAAATTACAGGTATATATTGGTTTATTTGATTATGGAACCTGCACACACTGGTATGTTTAAAGCAAACATAAAACTAAAGCTGATTAAGAGCTGGAGCCTTAACTCAATTTGTTTTCTCAGCAATCAAAAAGCCATTCTACAGAGACAGAAGTTATCTAATGCAAGGATTATTAGACTGAGCAAAATATAGAGATGAAAAAAGCAGTTATGCAAGTGAAATAATTTCTTCCCTCAGAGTACTGTTGCTGACACTGGTCTGCCATCCTGCCCTGATGCTCTCAAAGAAGATCAGCACTTGCGTCAAGTTCCCAAAGAATTGGCAGGTCCTAATCTATCTGACCTGATCCATGACAAAGAGAAGTTAGAACAGTTCTGGGCTTTTCTTAATAACCATTCTGCTGGGTATGTTTCTTCGTTATTATTATTTTACCCATTTCTAAGTTCAGAAGAAATCTTTGCTGGGGATCTTGGCTATCTAAATGTTCAGAGATTTTAGTCTTTTTTAAAAATGTGTTTGTATATTTATGAAATACACATGCACGTTGTTCAGACAACTGAATTGTCTTAAAATTTTTGGGGTAAAAATTCTTCTGTCATAACATATTTGTATTACAGTTCTGCTTTCAGTTTCTGCTTTGATTAGTGGCAAACCCCCCGAGTAGAGCAATTAGCCTATAATGAGTAAAAATTTCTCTTTTTTAGTACAGATTCAATTTAGTACATTTTAAAAATTAAAGCTGGATGTTATTAAAATGTACAAATAGAAGACTGCCATGTTATTCTCACAGTGTGAGAGCAACCACAGTTTTGTGTTTGCACTGATCTGAACAGAATTAACTACCAGCTCGTAGCAGATGCAGTTTATGCAGGGTTTTTGAAAAAGCGAGCCCGTTTGTTTAAAAATGAAGATCTAAACAGAAGTTCTAGCAGAAGTAAATGTGAGTTTGCCACCTTTTTTTTTTTTCCCCAAGCCCCACACTAATCTCTATCCTGTTTTAGGAAAAGGCAAATACACTTTTTAAGTAACTGCTAGCAAGTCCTTAAATTGTCACTTCCTTCCTTTAACCTGGGTTCCCATGAGCTGATGCTTTGCATATTGCCTATTGCTTCTAGTCAAGCACTGCTACCATTTTAGATTGGATATTGGTCAGCTTTTTCAAAAGTGTCCAGAGACGGACATCTAGCACAGGATTCCTCTGGCCAAGACTCAACGTCATCACTTCTGCTTATCGTCATAGGTTCCCTTTGTAGTCAGAGAGAGAAATACACACTTCTGGACACAATTCTTCTAATTCTGAAGGTAACATCTAAAACCAGTTTGGATGGATCATTCCGAAAGATGGCTATTTCTTCTCACTGACTACAAAAAGACTGTAGGTAATGAGTTCAGATGGAGATTCTTATGCTGTGGGTGCCTATGGTGCCATGACTTTTGAGTTAGTTGTCTAGACCAGTGGTCTCCAAACTTTTTCGATCGCGCACCCCATCAGTAAAAAATTTTTGAGCATGCACTCTCAATATATGTATAATTATTTTTTTATAAATTATAGACATGTGCTACTGAAGTTCTAATATTTTCTTCCTGCCCCGCAATGAATCGTCTCACAAACCCCACTTGGGAGACCACTGGTCTAGAGTTTCTCTCTAACTGGGTAAATGGTAGGAATCACCAGAGAACAGGTCACTGGCTAGGATGGGGTCCTAGACAGGTATGCTGAATTGCCTCTGGGACTTCCTGCCTCTCTGTTAATCACAGACAAGTCCCATCTTAAGTGATAGAGCCAGGCAGAGAAATGTTTAATTTATGGAGAAATTTTCTTTTGTAAAAATTCATAATGAAGAAAAACATTTGAAAAAGTCCCACAAAATCATGTTTTAGAGCTGGGTCCAGACCTAGTAAGTCTGAAGTCCAGCTGGCATGCAACAGTAAAGATGCTTAATAGTACTATAAGCTGAAGGGATCCTAGAATTAATGCGGTCTGGAAAATTTCAGCAAAAAACAAATGTGTCATTTGCCTCTTCATCAAAATTTATGGTTCTGTTATTGATCTGCCTGTTCAGCAAGTGCCATGGTCTCACCAGATGGTACTAGCAAAGAAAAAATGACGTAAAATTTCAGTCCAATCTGACCTGCTATTTAGGACTTGAACACTTTGGTGGCTTGTGGTTAAACTAATAACTCCCTAGAATGTTGATGAAATTAACTCAATATTGAAATAACATTCTGTTTAAATTTGTTTGTAGCATGGATCTCATGTGCTGGCTAGATATTGAACAGTTCAGAAAGATGCTCGACAAGGATGAAGAAAAAAGGGAGGAAAAATCTAAGGACATTAAAAACAAGTACTTAAACAAAAAATACTTCTTTGGACCCAACAGCCCAGCTACCAGCAAACAGCAAGAACAGGTACCAGTTACAAAACCGTTCATAAAGAACAATCACACTGAATGTGACTGAGATAAAAGTCCATAAGCAGCTTTACTCCAGCTTTTCCCCAAGCTATCTCCTCAAATCTTACCTATATTTTTGGCCAGAAATTTGGTTCTGTTCTGGCTGTGGCGATCCCCTCCTTCCTGTTCAGGCTCTTCCTCCCACGTCCTTACAGAACATCTCTCTTAAACCCTGATCTGAGGCCGCAGCCAGACCATGCACAACACAGCTCAGAAAACGTGTAAAAACGGCTTTCAGGCAGAGTGACTTGTTCCAGCTTTCTATTTTAGTATGTCAGTAAAGCCACAGACAGCGAGTCTGAGCTGTGGTACTCCGATATATCTTGATACTTAGGAAATTTACTTGGTCAAGCTGGGGTATTATTTGATGGAGTCTGTATTCTATTATAGGTAGGGACAAGTGTAATCTGTTCCCTTTTATGAAAAGTACATGTGAGCCTTGGGTAAGCATGCATTAAATGCTTTGCTTACAGTTAAGCTCATGCTTTGCTAAATCAAGGACAGAGAGAGATAAAGGACTTTTGGTATACACAAAAGTTTATGTCATGTGTTATTGTATTTGGATTGCTTAGCTAATGCATTCAGGTGGAGGATGGGGACAAATCCTTCATGATCGACTTTCGGCAGCGGTTCTGCTAGAAATTCAGCAATGCGTCCAGAAGAGATTAGAAAAACAATGGCTGCCATTGTTCCTGGCAGATGAGCACCATGGGGCGGAGGGACAAGCAAAGGTAACTTTTTAACAACAGTAACACATCCAGACATTGTTTTTTGTTTGGCTCATAATTTACCATTGGGATAAAATGGTTCAGAGGAAAAGCAGCCCACAAGTCACATTCAGTTTACATTGAAAGAAACTCTCTAGCATGTACAGGTTGAAGCATTTAGCTTGATAAATGTGAAGGCAGTTCCTCTGAAGGCTTGGTGTGGCTGACAGTATTATTGTTAGACCCTAAATCTGAAGGAGCTGGTGTTAGCTCTGCTGCCAGCCAGGCTGTCAGGGGAGTAAACTAATCTTTGCTGTAGTGCTGCACTCCCCATATGCCATTCTGCCCTAGCCATACACTTGCACACAGAAGAAATGCTGCTTTGTGTAAAGGATTTGCCCAAGGGGACAAGAACACAGGCGAATGAGTGGGCTTCCCACGCTGTATTCTCTCTCTCTCTCTGTCTCTTATGCTGTCCGTATTCTCCCATCTGGAGCTGCAGTGCCTGTAGAAATGACTCCAGGACTTGTGAAATTCTGCTGAGTGGGGAGGTTAACTGCTGCAAGCCTTGTTTCTAATTGGTTACTTCAGAAAGTTGCCAGAAAACTGAGAATGAGAAGCCTTTCACTCCTGCTGGCTCATTAGAAAGACTGGGGAATGGGCAGAGCTAACATCTGCCTTTTATGAGAGTGCCTCTGTGACTGCAATCTGCGTAGGGAGATCATCCTGCTGGTGACAGATGCAAAAAGACTTGTTTTTTTTCACTTCCACAAAAGCTCTGAAATGTGAATGTCATAGCAGAAGGAAACTTGACAGTTCCACCAAGCAGACACATAGGCAGACTGCACTGATTCATAAAACTTGTTTTCAGTGATCTTTTTAACATCAAGAAGGTTGTCAGAAGTGTTGTCAGAAGTGCATTTGAACTGGATCCTTTGCATTGATTCAGAGCACTAAGCAATCTGAAAACTGTAGGTTCCAATAAGGCAAATTGTAATTTTAATAATGATTATGTTAAAGCAAAGTTTCCTTACCCTCTGCCCTTTTTTAGCTGAACTCTGCCTCCTTTACGAGCCATGGCACAAGACCATGCGATAAGGTTAAGCTGCTTCCAGGTCTGGAAGCTAGCTCACGCCTCTTCTTGCACCTGCTGCACTGTGCAGGGAGAGTAGCCCATGTAGTTTGGAAAATGCTGTATTCAACTCTAATAAACAGTTTACAGGAAATACATACTTCTGATGAGCTTTTAGTCTTTTCCCAACTCCATTTATGTCTGACTGCTCTTTTCTCTTTCTTACTGCAAATTCAGAGGATGAAAAGGTCCTTTGAAGAACGTATTTTAGAAGAAATGAAACCAGATGACATTCTCCACTTGGCTTCATATTTCACAGTGACCAAACACTGTGGGCATGCTATGTAGTCCTTATTCAGAAAATCTGCCCTTGATTTGAGGTGTATTTTTGCTACAAAGAAGCTGCAGGATCAAGCCTGTATTTCTGATACAGCTGTCCAAAGGAACTAAAAACATTTTATATCAAAAAAATGTTATAGCCCAAAATCTGTTCCCAACATAAGTGGTCACTCAGAACATTATGGGTAAGGTAAACCGGTGGAAGAGCGCAGTTTGACTGCCATTGCCTCTTGTCTTCTCTAACTCCCCAGTCTTAATGAGCACATGCTCATTTATAGCTGAACAAGGGATGGCGTTCAGCGTGGGTCCACAACAAGTTTCAGATATAAAGATCCAAATGAGGATATATCAACTATTCTACCACTGTGCTCTCAATCATTAGAGGGCTGAACATGAAACAAGAAGAGTTAAAAAATACAATGATAATCTTTTGTTCAACCGTAGATAAGGAACATAACTGAAGATCTTCCACGCCAAAAACAGAAGACAACTAGGATGTGGAAGGCAAGTGAAGTTTACTGTGTCTCTTGTGTCTGCTGTTTCGCTGTCTTTTCTGTTTGGACCTTGCACATCCTTCACAATTTCCCTGCTGACAGTGTGAGGCCCAAATATAAGGCTGTCAAAAGCAGGCATGATTGTATTGGCTACAGTGGACTGATTACTCACATTACTGGTGAATTTAGCTCCCTGCTGGATGTTCACGGTAAATTTCTCTCCCTTCCTGGCCGGAGAGGTCATACTTGAAAAAAACATGTCTCTTGTCCTGGGTTTTGGAGCACTCTTAACCCTCCTCAAACTGGTATTGTACCTTTAATTCACATTTATCTGTATTTTGCATGCAGTGGACTTATTGGGACAAGCTGTTCATTCCAGCATCTGGTAGTTTATTTATTATTGCGAGTGGATTACGTGCAGACACAAAAGGGAATGTGAAGTATGCAGTGGAGTGGGCAGGTTTAATCGTATCTCACAGTATCTGTTTCATTTAGAATTGTATTTTAATCTTACAGCACTGAGATAATATCAATTTTAAACATCTTAAACCTTTGTAATAATACATTTCATCAGATGTTTGCCAGTTTTTTCCTCTTGAAGAGCAGTGAACTCTTTGTGATTGCCAACATACAAGTTGTGTACATTTATTCAGTTGAACTTTTATTGTCTGTTGAAATCAAACTGGAGACCCGGTCACCAATTATCCATGCAAACCATTAGCTCGAAAGGGATCCAAAGTGCATGTGGGTTCTGTTAACTGAGTTTTCACTTTGTCTGTTTGTCAGAAAGATGGTTATTTTCCATGTTCTGCTTCAAGGTTGTTGACCCATAAAATAAGCAGTGTTCGTGTATTAGTATAGGGGTGGGAGCAACGTTTTGTTCTTCCCTTCATGAATATGTCCCAGAAATAATTTTTCCGAAAAGTTGCCTAAATCCTGGTCACAGGGGATAGAACATGTTTGGAGAATTGGAGGAGGGCTGAGAATATGCCACCTTACTGTCTAAGTTGAGCCGACTTTATTTTAACCAAAGGACCCTCTGGACAACCACCACCCACCCACTCGCAAGGGTAGGCTCTCATCACTGGCAGCCTCTGTGGCAGGACACTAAGTGTAACCTCTGTTTTTAAGAGAATCTGCAGAAAGACTTTCAGCTTAGAATCAGGTTAGATTTCCAGGACTGTCTGCAGCAACTGAAAATGTTTCTGTCCCATGCTGACCATTGAACAGCACTCCATCCCTCCAGGACTTCAAGAGTTTTATACCACTGTTAGAAGAGAGTTTTCATTCATCCATCTGATAACAAAGGGGGGTTGTTTGGCTTGCTCCTCAGTGACAGCACAAGAACTGTTTGTTCAGGAAGCCAGGCCAGCCTGAACTTCATTTCAAACAAACTGTCCCTGAATAAGCCATCTTTCTTTCTCCACCCTTCCCTGGCTGCCTACTGCTCTGTGCTTTGCAGCATGAGGATTTCCAAAATGTCTCGATGACTTTGAATTCTGTTTTACTATTGGTAGCTTTATTCCACAGAAAGCAAACTCTCTGGCTTCTGTTGGTGATCATGGCAACACATTTCAAAGCTCATTTTGTTGGTGAGATCCCTGTCAGAAGCATTTTACAACTTTAAGCTATGTGGTTTGTCTGTTCCTTTTTCTTTGTTGTTTGTTTGCACAAAACTCAAACTGTTCTCTAGAAAAGTAGCCTGTTGCCATAATCAATAACAATAGCTGTTTCCATACTTTATAGTATGTAGTCATATGGTCTAAATCATTGTCAGTCATTTCCTCTCCCATCACGTCTTCCAAAAAATGTTGCCCAAACCAAACTGGAAAAAAAAAAAAGAAAAAAGAAGGAAAGAAAGAAATGAAACCTTGCCACATTCTATTGTATCCATGTCATAAACTCATAAACTACTGAAAGTTAGGGTGAGTGCAAAGATAAGAATCAGACAGTTTCCGCTAACTAATGCTTTTGTTATTACTTTTTTAAACAAAGTTTATTTGGTGCATTTATTTCTTCTTTTGACAGCATGTGGACAATAAGTGGGTTTCTTCATCTAATGAAATAATTGCTTTCCGCAAAGCGCTGTTGAATCCAGTGACAGCAAATCAGTTTCAACGCTTTGTGTCACTGAAAGGAGACCTACTGGAGAACGGAGTGCTCTTTTGGCAAGAGGTACAGAAGTATAAGGTATGGTGGTAAAATGGAGCAATGGGAATATCATTCAATTTGTAAGCAAATGCATCCATTATTGCATATTAGGAGAATTTTAACAAGAATATCTCTAGGCATTTTCTTGTTCATAGTAAAACCTTTTTCACTGTTTAAACTGTTTTTTCTTCAGTGAAAATCCTCACTTCTTAAGGGTAGCGATTTTTAATGACTTGAATGTATTATCCCTGTATTTCTTTATGCTTCTTCAAACTGTAACATTCTTCTGAATCTCTAAAGGGACACTACTAACTAGCTAATGCCCAGATTTTGGTATACATCTGTTGAGCAGTAGAAAATATGTAAACATTAAAATGTTCATTCTGTCTTTATAGTTACATACTGTTAAATAATGGGATTGTTGCTGAATTTGGTAATCCCTCAAAAATCAGAGAAAACTTTTAAATTCAATCAAATGTACAGATGTAAAGATAGTATCTACCCAAAAACCTTATATGCACAATGCAGACCCCAGCTCCCTTGCACTCTGTACAGTCACATTTGACTGCAGCTGAGGATGTGGCCAAGATGAAACATGATGGGGAAGGTCAGCAGGGATTGCCTCTCTCCCAAATACATGTCCCTTTGTGAAATTGCTGCTGTGTGGGGTGAAACACAATGGGAAAACTCTGGAGTGAGCAATTAAATCACATTGCAGCCTCCTAGTAGCACCCTGGACTGAATGCAGGGGCACCACAGATCTTTCACTTGTTTCTCATTCCTTTTTGCCTCTGGGATATTGCTTATGCAAAAGTGCTACTGGAGTGCAGAGCCTCTCCTGGGATCCTGAACATAGCCTGTGTACACATTGCAGGCAGGGAGGATGAGGTTAGCTAACATGCTCAGGAATTAGGAGGTAAACACAGTTGATGCTGCAGTAGCACTTAGAGATTCTGCTGCAGGCATGTGGGTGTATTTCTACTGTTTAATTTTATGCATTTGAATTTGAGGTCTGCTTTAGAAGCTGAAGCTCCTCTGTTTTCAGGGGGCAATCTCCCCTCCTCACAGAGTCTCTGATCCCCAAGCGAGGAATCATCATCGGCTGAAATGCTCTCTGGGGCTGCTGCTGTCTCTCTCTTGGTTACAGAGTGACTAGCTTAGACTAGAAACTTGACATGAAGGCACCTGAAGTTCCATGACATAAATCCTTCTCAAAATATTTGATGTTTTTTCAGATTTGTGACTCTTCATTGCTACATTGTGGAGGATGTGGAAACTTTCTGCAAATTAATGTGGAGTGTAGTTTAGGTTGTTTTCTTTGTGGATCTGCTCTCTGAAGAAAGCCTTCATTGTTTTATGTCCCACCCCCTCTCCTTCATTTATGTTAATTTTATTTGTCTTCTTATCAAGAGAAAGTACAATCTGACCATATTTCTACATGCATGCGATTTGTCATGGTTGGCAGTTGATGCTCTTTATAGAAGCAAAGGGCTGGAGTAGTAGGAGTGTTGTGGGTCAGGCTGAACTGGAGGAATACTGCCAAAGACGGGGGCAGCACTTTACACAGTGCATACTTGTATTGTCTGAGCCCTATCATGCCATCAGTTTAGACAGAACTCCCTTTAGGAATCAATGACTGCATTGCTCCTCGTAACCCATCGGGCTGGCGGCACATCTTGGGACAATCAAAAAACAAACAAAAAAATTTTTAACAAATATGAAGAAATATAACTCTGTGGATCATTTCCATCTGTTCCTCTATGTTCATGTCTCATCCCTCTTCATATCATATGGCTTGTTTGTCTTCCCTCTTACTACAGCTCTCTGCTTTTTCTTCTATGCTAGATGAGCAAAGGAAGCCATAATATATTCTTAGGATATACTGAATATGTTTTTGTATTGCCTTACTTTCTTCATTGTAGCTGTTATCATTCTTTTTTTCCTTCACAAAACTAAAAAGTATTCATAATAAAACAAGCCAGCTCTTTCACATACCACATTTCTGGTTAAAAGCCCTGTTTTTAATTTCTTTGCAAAGTAAATATCCAGCCTCCTATACCAAAACTAAATGCACATTCTTCACTTAGAGAGCTCTCTTCCTGAAAATTCTCTGGAGTGCTCATTGTGTCTTTAGTAGATATATGTGATAATCTCCTAGTGTTATAGAAATCTCTTGATGTTTATGGATAGATGGAAAGTTCGTGTTTCAAAGCGTTTGAAGGAAGTTCTTTCTGAATTATTTTTCCTTCCTGTCGAAGTCCAACGGTAGCATCGTCAGAGTGTGAAAACACAGTAATAAGAGGTTTTACAAGAACAATAGGATCACATTAAAAAAAGTAGAACCCCCCCAGTGTTTCTCTGAGATCTCACCCTTGTACATTCAGGTTTGTTTTGTATTCTGTTCTGCACAGAGTTATTTCAAACACTGAGGTATTGGGAAACTAGAAAATCTTAACGAATAGGGAAACTAGAAGATTTTGATGAATGGAAGATTGTACTGGTAGCTGAAATTGTCCCTTCTTGTGCCAACATTCCTGGTTATAATACCTTGTACCCTCTAAATAATTCCCCTCTTTTCTTGGAGTATTTAGAGCATTTCTTTGTCTTTTAGTTACCATAGCTATGTTGGTCATAGCAGGCTCATTGTGAAAATCAGTGCATTTCACACCTCTAGGTGTGTTTCTCTTTTCAGAAATGCCTCCTATTTGCCAGTAATGTACTTAGACTGAATGCAGGGTAAAAACTATCCTGCCCCATCAGAACGTGCAGGCAGATATTATCACCTAAAAGCAATGATTGCTATATATCTGCATTTGCAAACCAGAAGTCCCACTCATGTCTTAACTATGTCTTTGACCATGCACATTTGCTGTAAGAATTTTGTGCTACGTACTGAAGAAATTTATTGTATAATTATTTTTGTATGACTATTACTCTTTGATCACTGGGCCCCTGTATAAAGGGTCTTGCATCTCTCTCTCCATTGACTGAAAATGCTACTTTTCGACTTTCAGGATTTGTGCCATTCTCATTGTGATGATTCCACAGTCCAGAAAAAGATCACAGCTATTATCGACTGCTTTATTAACTCTGCCGTCCCCCCAGCTTTGCAGATTGACATCCCAACTGAACAAGCAAAGAAGATTCTGGAGCACAGGAAAGAACTAGGACCTTACATTTTTAGAGAAGCACAGGTAAGAAGCTGGGAGAATGTCTGTAACAGATCTGGCTAGAGTCTGTGTGCCTGATTTTAAGGACAGTCTTTGTTGCTTACGTGACAATTTGGACTCCATACATAAGCCTGGGCATGAAGGAGAACACTATAGTCATGCATTTCAATGAAGATTGTATGGTGGAGATCACAGAGAGGCTTCAGATATTTACTGCTCAATAAACTGGACAATCTCTGACAGCTAGCTGATCCTGGAAAGGTGTTATCCAGGTCTGTGTTAGGAATTCTGGCAGTAGAAATTAATTCTGTCTATGTTTTTAATCGCTTGTTCTTTACCACTTGGTTAATGTCAGAGAAGTAATTTGTAGTTAGAAAGTTTGTAGTTTTTGTAGTTTATGAAAAAAAAAATGCAGCTGTGGGTAAAGCACAAAGACAGCTTAACTTACTGAATGTCTTTCCCTTCTTTATTACAGAAAGTTTGTATTAAATGGCTGTAGACAATTTTCTCTCTGATCTTGGTACTAATCAGACTGAACAGCAATTTGTGAACCTTTACTACAGACTTACTATTTTCTTATTCCTTGTTACTGTCTTCTCTGACTTATCTTCTAAACCCAAGAAAGCTAGTTCCTCTTCTTTTCCTATAAAACTGCCACCAACACCTTTAAACATCAACTGTGAGTCCATAAAGTGTTTGGATCACAAAAGATGAATGGTTTGTCAGAGAAAAGGGTTCATATAGGTCCTAAGAGAAATAAGTCTCATTTCAGCCTGTGTAAAACCCAGTGAACTTCAGAAATGTGGCACAAAACCAAGGGAAGAACTTGGCCAAAAAGCTGTGACTGGAACATGACAGTGACTCACATGTCACTTTCAAGTCTGTTGAGCCAGAAGCAGTGAGGTGCTGAGTATGCTCGGCTCCTTTGAAGCCAAGTTTCTCAATGAGAATTAAACATCTAAATAAACTGAAAAATGTGAGCCTTAGTACGTGCAGCAACAGAATTCACTGAGCCCCTCTGTTTGCTTTTCTAAAATTGTTTTTCTTATTCTAGTTCAAAAAAGACCCTGTGAGAGATTATATCATTTAAAAATTATCCAAGATTTGCTCATAGATCTGTAATGTGGTTTAAGAGCCTTTCCAGAGGCAAAAAAGTATTTCCTTTCTCTTAAGGAGGGGAAAAAAAACCCTCTCCCTAATGAACTGAATATTTGAAATACTTGAGCAGAACAGTGGTGCAAAAGCAATTCTACTGGTGTATATTTTATCAGGAATACTTGTAAAAAATGATGGATGTTTTCATTAATGCAAACAATTGTTTAGGGAAGTATAAAAAAAGAAAGTGCCTTTTAACTGTGTTTTAGGAAGATTTCTCACCAGTAATAAACACACTGATGAAAAGCATGTGCCGAGCAAAGCTGGGCTGAAATGTCAGGACACAGTACGTGGGAGGAACAAGGCTGTGTATTCAAAAAGAAATAGTTATTTCATTCTCATGGTAAACTACATTTTATTTTACAGTAAACTGTTCTTTTAATATGGTCAAGATTGACTTTCTTTTCTTTCTGCGCAGATGACTATTTTTGCTCTTCTGTTTAAATTTTGGCCAAAATTTTGTAAGTTTCAAAGGAATTTGGCTAGTGACAAAATTCTGCTTGCCTTGGAGAAAAAAAAGGGAAAAAAGATGCGAAAGAAGGAAGGCAAAATAGTAGAGGTAAGGCTCACAAAGTTTCAGGTGACAGCTGACGAACTGCACAAAAACTCCTTCATGAGCGAACATACACGAATTCAAATATCCCTTTCTCAGCCTGATCCAAAGCTACCGAAATCTTTTTGTTAGCATTCAAGCTTTACATGCAACCCGGTCCTAGGGCGATTAGTTCCCAATCCTGCCAATGCATATACATATGTTTAACTTGAAGCAGATGAGTCAATGGAATACTCCTTTCATTAAGCAGAGGGGAAAATGTATTTTGGTCATCTTTTGTGCCAAGAGAAGCGTGAAAAAGAGGGCTGAATTTAAAAAAAAAAATCTATGTACGGTCCGTGTACAATGGGTAACTGCAGACCTGTTTGCACTTTCAGTATGTACTGTCCTATTTTAGAATTTACAGTCCTGGGTCACTATTGAAAGCAAAACAAAACAAAGCAAAACCAGATTTCATATCTATTTTTCAGAAGGAGCATTTGAAAAGTCTGCACACTATTTTAAAAAATATTTATGTGCTAATTGCTTTGTATAGTCTTTGTCTTTTCTGGAATATTTCTCAGCTTTGACAGTGAAATTGTTAGACTGTTCACAATGAGTTTCCAGACAGTTTCAGTGCATTAACAGAACTGTGACCTCTACAGCAGAATTCTTGCTTGTAAAATTGTTTTTCTTGGAATTTTATTATTACAATATAATGGATTTTTCTTCTATTGATTATAGGCTTTGCAAAAGTTTATTTTTTACGAAATGTAATTGTTTGGCCAGCTTTGAGGAGAGAACATTCCTTTAAGGGTAGAGGAATTATTGGACTTGCAAACTATCATTAGTAGCATTAAAAGAACTTTACATATTTTAAATACCATGTACACATGTGTTGAGATATTATGATGAGAACCACATGAGTACATGGACAGATAAAGACATATATGCCCGTAAGAACTTGTACACATTGTTATCCTCTTTTAGACACATGAAAACTGAGGACTGGTGAAGTGTTACTCAAGGCCACACACCAATGTCAAGTGAAGTTTAAAACCCAAGAACTCATGTTCCTTTCTCCAAAGCACATTGCCTCCATACAGATATGTCTGGCAAGGCCATTGGCAATACTTACAGTGCAAGAATGCAATATTTCAAAGTAATGCACTTTTGCGTTTTCACAGACTTATTTTTTCCATCTGTTTGTTGCCTGTCTATGAGACTTCTGATTAAGACCAAGGAAGTAAAGAGCAAATCTTGGCCAGGACAGAAGCCTAGCTTTTATGGGGAACAAATGGCAAAGGTGAATTACCCTTCTATAGGATGAGAGGAAATGGCCTCAAGTTGTGCCAGGGGAGGTTTAGATTGGACGTGAGGAAAAATGTCTTTACTGAAAGAGTGGTTAACCATTGGAACAGGCTGCCCAGGGAAGTGGTTGAGTCACCATCCCTGGAAGTATTTAAAAGACGTGTAGATGCGGCGCTTGGGGACATGGTTTAGTGGACATGGTGGTGTTGGGTTGGCGGTTGGACTCGATGATCTTAGAGATCTTTTCCAACCTTAATGATTCTACGATTCTATGATTCTAAGCTGGGAAATAGCGTAAGAAATTTTAGAAAGTGACAGGCAGAGAATGCAGTTCAGTAAACAGTCTGCAGACTATTCTCACAAAAAACTATCAGTAAACCAGTTACCTTTTAAAATCTCTGGAAAGAACTGGTGGAACAGATAAGTTTTTGAAACCCTTTCCCCCCTCTATTATTGTTTAAAGAATTTGCCATGCCCTGTTCTCTTGCCTGAGATTTCTGTCCCCTCAGTGACAACGTAACTATTCAAATGATTCAGTATCCCTGAAGGATACTGATAAGGTTCATCCGACATAAGCGACAGCAGGTTCACTTGGCAGCTTGTAGGTGGTGATGATTTCTTGGCATTTAAAATAATGTCTATGCTCCTCTGCCCCACCAGGCTCATGTTGAAGGAGAGGAAAGCCCTGGCAAGGGTTAGAAATTATATTTTTTTCTTATATATATACTCCCCCCCCCAAATCAGTTGCCATTTTGGGTTTATGTCAAAAGGAACAATCATGGTCCTGGGGCAGGAATTTTACTTTCTTCCTTCTCACAAATTTGTCCCTGGGGTGTCCAGCCTACCCTGGCTCACCTCACTTTCTGAACTGACTGGATAAGAGTTGGACTTTTATGTATGGAAAATATGGGCAGACAAGGAGGTTTTCATTGGACAATGATGCGTGACTTGGTAGTACTCAACTATCTCAATATTTTTTGTGTGTGCCTATTTATTATTTATGGGGCAAATCCTATCAAAGGCTTCCTGGCAATGGACTCAGTGCAGGGGAGGAGTGGCTGACAGCGAGGGACACCATGCAAGCACTGTACAATGCAGAGACCTCTTTTAAGCTTAGTGTCTGGAAGGCAGGGATGGGTAGGTACAGGGTGAAGTAAGCTCGAACATTCAACATAACGTGATTGCTTCAGTATTGAGCTGAAATAGTTGTTTTAAAAGATATTGCCTTGGGAGAGTATGGTTTGCTTCTCTGTTTTCACAGATTTGGCCTTAGTGTGGCACAGCTGTATGGGCTCATCTTCGGCCTGTCTGTGGATCTGTTCCGTTGTTAACTGCTAGGTGCACATGCCACATACTTTAAAAAATATCATCAGTCACTTTTTGCAGACTGCCTTGATGCCAGTATTTGTAAATTGTTGTATACACAATTGTATTTTACCTCCAAAATAGATTTTGGATTTTTTGCTTTCAAGTGTACAAAATAGCTTTAACTTACATGGTAAATCTGTTCTTACTCTTTCCATGCCCTTAGCAGAGAAAGGTAGAACCATAAGCATTAACTTTCCTTTTCCATGTTTCTCTCATCTCTCTTTAAGCTTCTTAGCAGTAAGCTTGTTTGTTAGTAAGTGGTGTAATGTCATGGGATATGACATTGCCATAACATTGCCTAATTTATTATGAGAAGACATTATTAAAGACCTCATTTAATTCACCATTCTCACTGAGAAAGCTAGCAAACATAAACTGTAGTATATTAGTATACACACTATTTCTGTATTTGCTTTGGCATCCCTGTTCCATCAATTGAGTGTGCCACAGAAGTTAGTAAGCCTGCTCTGGAGAGAAGATAAACACCACGCTGCCTGGGAAATTCTACACCCAAAAGTCACCCTTCTAGATGATGGGTCCATAGGACAGTGGGGATGATAAGGAAGGAAAAGGCACCTTGGGAGCAATGATGTAGGATATTCTGATCCTTTTCCAGATCTTTCAGGGACTTTCTGAGTGACTTTGGGAACCATTTGACCTCTCTTTTTTTCTTTCTCATTTGCAACATGGGAGGGTTATATTGCTCGCCTCATGGGGATGTTGTGGGGTTAATTATGTGAGGTTAAATATGAACATTGATTAATGTTCATAAAGAGTTTTGGGATCATCAGACAGAATGTGCAAATGTGCAGCCTTAATAAAACACTAAAACAACATGAAAATGACAAATAGTTAATCACTAGAATGGTTTACCAAGGGTTACAATGCCTTGTCCTTCACTGTAAATGTTTTAAATGAGATCGCCTGTTTTCCTAACATGTATACTGTAGCTCATTCACAGCTACTGGACCAAGCTGGAATTAATAATGAGAAATCCTATGTTCTACATTTATACCTGAGGCCAAATCAGAGGATCACAATGGCCTCTCTGTCCTTAAAATATGTTCTATTGCAGGTCTGCCCTCTCACTTAGCTATATTTTGGAGCAGCTATTGAATCTGAAAGGAAGATATTCTGCAGGAGTGTAGAGGTCAGGAAACTTTGATTAGGACAAAGAAATGCTTTAAAAAAGCAGTATCTTCTGCTATTTTTTATTATGCCCAACATGATGAATTACGAAACTGGGCATTACAAAACATTACAAAACATATGACACTATCTCGTTTCCAATGACAATTTTTGCTTCCTCAGACTTTGCTTTTTACTTCAGCTCAGTAACTATTGTTTACGTCTAATTATGACTTCTTATTATTGCCAGGGTAAAGAAGCGGGAACAAAACTCATCAGTCTGTCAAGCAGTGCTTTGGTAGATGAGATTGGTGTGGAGAGAGGACCAGCATCATTTTCAAATGGATATGGGTGGCAGGTGAATAATAAACATGTTGCTACAGATATCATCATTCAAGAGAGATAAAATGATCTTGGGAGAATGGGAAGGAGAGGTTTGGTATTGCATACTACTATCACATGGTTCTTTGATAAGTGTTCATTCTTCTACAATTAACTTCACTGTTACAAGTTTACCTACCTTACAGGTGATTTTTTTTCTTTCTTTATTAATTTTTTTAAGATTTAGGTTCTGAATAGTATTAACATCTAACAACCTATTAAGCTCTTTAGGTGTGTAGGTTTAAAAAGAATCTTTATTTAAAGATAAATTCAAGAAAAGGAAGTTCACTTCTGGAATAAGCAGCTTTTCATTATTTGTGAAATTCATATCCTGAAAGAATTTGGTTTAGGCTTGAGTCCTGTTCTGCTCATATGTCAAAAACTGAAGCCAAACTCATTTAGGAAAGCTAGGCATTTGAATAGAAAATCTGATGAAAATAGCTCTTTAGTACTTCTTCCAGAACAACTCTCATGATGCATCAAATCTGTAGTGAAAAGGTAACAGTCATTTTACTGGAGAAACAGGAAGAATAGACATGCCACCTCAGGCATATCAAGGGATCATTCATAGCTGAGTTGACACTGCCATAACATAACGGGGCATCTGTGCAACCACATAATCACAGCTATGTCATGCGATGCGGAAGCAAATCACACTTTGGCCACTGCTTGTATTCCATAGAGCTCTTCCCATGGCATTACGTTAGCGATGAGCAGAATATAGAAACAGGCAGTCTGCAATACCCCCAAAATCTGAAACCACAGTGCAAACTGCATAGTTAAGCTCACATTCTTATCCCTTAAATGGACCATTTTACTTTTTCTCATACCTATTAAAAAAAAAGTGAGTTGAGTGAGCCAGTATATCAATATCAAACGCCTAAGCCCTCAAGAAGAGGCAGGTAATTGCAGAAAGAGCAATAATCTTTTACAGAGCAGTTTCTTCTCCAAGCCCCTTTCTGCTATAGAAAGATGCTAGAAGTTCTTCTTACTGAGTTATGACATGACAAATTGGCCCCAAGCTTCTCATGCTGTAAGGAAAAAAAAGGCCAAATAAAAGTACAGTTCCCATACTGATTTGGGAGAGTGACCTAAAATTTACATGGAACCTGAACTGTGGTTGTTGCAATGTAAAGAGCAACATCTGTTCCTTAGAAAAGGAAAGGATGACATCTCCAGTTGATCTGCCTCTAGTGGTAGCAGCATTCTGCTGGAGAGGGCAGGCAGAAAGAACTGTGAGGCTAATGAGACCTTAAATGATTCGAGAAAGGACACTCTGGAAGGATGTGGCAGGGAGATAAAATCAAGTCCTCAGTAGCACAAAAGACTGATACTTTGGGAGGGGAAAGGTCTGCTGTATTTAGGTTTTGAAGATGAAAGGAGAGAGAATAGGACTCAGACCAGGGATGGAGAACAAATGAATGTAAACATCGTATCTGTCAAACTTGCTTAAATTGCATTTCATGGTGTTTTGAGATTCGCTTATTTGCAGCAGTATTATTTTTCCCATGATTCCAGTATTGTCATGACAAAACTTCTCTTCTTAATAATTGTGATTATTCAATACAGGGATATAACATAAACAAGTTTTTTGTCTCACTGTTGAAATGGACCAGGAACTACCAGTGATATGGTCTGGAGGCTGATGGTTTTTAATGGTTCTTGCAGGCTTCCTGGTCATATTCCAAGTACATAGAAGCCTTGGAGCAGGAGAGAATACTCCTTAAAATGCAAGAAGATCTGGAGGAAAACTCATCATCATTCCCTACAGGTTGTTAACCAAGCTCTGTAGTTTAGGAGGACAAGCTTATAGCTTTGGTGAAATTCTCTCAGTATAAGGACTTTGTTTGCTCTCCTTTGGAGTTGTGTACATAAACCTCTGCCTCTCTTATGCTGTCTGCAGGGGAGTTGCTCTCTGCACCATACTCGTGAGTGGTAAGTTTTCTAAGAAAGGGAAAGTGAAAGTTGCAGGGTATCAGCATCGCCTTTACTGCACAGGTCCTACTGCAGAGAGGAATATGGCCATTTCTTCATTCTGCAGAGTGACATGGCAATCCTGTTTGGTTCACTTACATATTTCACCTCCCTGGCTTCTTGTGCTTCATCAACTTACATACAACCAGAGAGATGAAATTTTTTTCTCACCAGTTTGTCTGTATGTTTTCGGGGGATGTAAGAGGCATTGCTTCATCCTTGTTTCAGCTGTGAATATCCTCTTAGGTCTTCCCCAAGGATATTATGACCTGTTTGTTCATTAAATAGCTCCATTTAGCAGTAGGGCTAGCAATAGCACCATGTAATATTAAACCCCTTCAGTTTCCCATCATTTTAATTTTCTTTCCATATGCAGGTACCTCATCTATGTCCTTCCCGAAGCCTGGAAACTCCGAAAAATCCACCATTTCTCCACAGAGTAGTGTGATTTTGGAGAAACACTCAAATCTTCCCAAGAAACAGAAAGTGAGTACCAGCCTGCCAACAAGTGTGCTTTGAAATTTGGATTCTTACAAGTTAGTTTTCCTGCTGTCAGTGCTGATGTTCATTAGTAGCAAGTTATCCCACTCCAAATCATGTTTAACTGAAGCTGTAAAGCCTCAACATGAAGGTAAGATTATTTCTCACTTCAACCATTGTTAGTGGACCTAATGTTGACCAGATGGAATTTTGTTGCAAAATGCTAGTCTCTGAAATGCAGTTATCTAAGCTTTCCAGTTAAAATATTTTAAATAGGAGCATGAGATGGCTGGAGGAAGCTCAGACCCCATGGTGTTACTGGCAAGGGCCTGACACAGAACTAGCAATAGATCATCTCTGCTGAAGCCAATTAAATATTAGAATGGGAGAAAGAAGTGGGACAGTGAAGAGATCTGATAAAGACAGAAAAACAGATTTTGCTTCAAAGCTTGAATTCCTAGATGGAAGAATCCTCTGGAGGTTTTGCTTTGTTTTTTTAAGCCTATGCTGAAATTAGATGGACTTAAAAAAATTAATAGAACTTGGACTATTGCTCCCCTTCCTTCTCTGCTCCTCCTTCCTCTTCTAATTCTGTATTTCAATGCTGCTATTTTAGGCAAGTTGGTGTCCTGTCCTTGCTAGGCCTCCTAAACTTCCCAGTGCCTGAATATATTCTTCCTGTGGCAGCATTTTTTGTATGTGGCTTCAGAGAAAACTGCAGCATTCCTTGGTCTTCCCTCACGTTCTCTTTCTGCCCTCTTATCACCTCCTCTAGTTGCAGTTAAAGTCATCCAGTCACCTTGGACCTTATGCACCTCTGCAGGTGTTACTATATTTCATACATTTATGCCTTTTTGTACTGCAGCTCTGCTTCACATGCAGCTATATCAGTGTGGAGAGTCCTTGCGCAGGGGCTTTGGTCCTGCTCTGTAGCTGAGAAACCTCCAGCTGGGTCCAGTGCTCAAAGAATCATAGAATCATAGAATCATTAAGGTTGGAAAAGACCTCTAAGATCATCGAGTCCAACCGTCAACCCA